TCAATAATCCTGCTCAAAAGAGTCGTTGTACTACTTGAGTGACCACATCCATTTGTGTGTGCTTTTGGGCGCAACAAGTTTTTGGCGCCGCTGCCGGGGACTTTAAAATCGGCTTATATCTAATTTTCGAGTGTCTAAATTATTTGTACAAGTTTTGACAACTTGATCTTGGCTCTTCATTTCGCAGGTTGTGTCAGGTTTTCACACTGGAAGACGACCATGACTTGGTAGAGCCTCTAGCTGAACCGGAGAGATTTGTTTGTTACCGAAGAAGGCAAAGAAGACTCACTTATCATGTTCCTCTTGTGGATAGTAAACCAGAAACTTCAGAAGAAAGGGAGGATCAAGACCCACCTGCAGTGATGGCAGAAATGGAAGTGAGAGATGCGGCAATCCCACAGACCACCAATGTTACCTCAAGTATTCAGAAACCTGCACCTGGTGGGAGGTTTGAATTGAAGCAGAACATGGTGCAACTACTGCACACAAACGGGCAGTTCACTGGTCTATCTCATGAGGACCCATTAGTGCATATTCAGAATTTCCTCGAGATCAGTGACACATACACTCCAACTGGAGTGAACTCTGATTATGTGACGCTCACATTATTCCCCTTTTCTCAGCTGGGGAAGCAAAGAGATGGCTGAACTCTGAGCCCGCAAATTCCATAACAACTTGGGATGATCTTTCCCGAAAGTTTTTGATAAGGTTTTTTCCATCCGGTAAAACAGCCAAGCTGAGAAGCGACATATTAAGCTTCCGACAGAAAGGAGGGGAAAACTTGTATCAAGCTTGGGATAGGTTTAAGTCCTTGCTATTAAGTTGTCCACATCACCATCAAGCTTACGAAGTGTTGGTCTATACCTTCATTGAAGGGTTGGAACCCAACACAAAAAATTTACTTGATTCTGCTGCAGGTGGACAAGCTTTGGAGAAGACATATGTTGAGTTCTTTAAATTGCTTGATAGAATTTCACAGGGTAACCCCGAGTGGAATGGCGGAGGAGCTAAACCGGTTGTACAGAAGACTGTTGGAGTGTTGGAAATGGATGCAGTGATAGCTTTGTTGACACAGATCGCAGCAATGCAGAATATAATGACTACTCATTTTAGTAACATGTCACTAGGACAACAACCAGCCCAAGTTAATATGGCACATCAACCACAAGCTTGGTGTGAAGTATGTGGAGGTGGAGATCACAGTGCTGAGGTATGTGGAGCAAACCCAGAATCTGTTCATTTTGTAGGTAATGCTCAACGAGGAGGAAATCACCAGAGCTACGGAAATACCTACAACCCGAGCTGGAGGAACAACCCAAACTTTTCATGGGGTGGCAATCAAAACCAACATCAAGGACAGAACCAATACAGACCACATAGTAGTGGACAACAGTACCATCAGCAAAACCATGGTAACCAGCAGGCTGCCAAGCAAGGTGATATGAGTATGGAGGACATGCTAAAACAAATCATGGCGGATCAAGCTAAATTGGAAGCAGATGTTCGAAATAATCAATTGGCGACTCAAAATTTGGAGAAGCAGTTTGGGCAGTTTGCTAGTGCCCAAAATTCCCGACCACAAGGAGGTTTGCCGAGAAATACCTACCCGAACCCGAAGTAGGTAAATGTTGTGAGTACTCGGAGTGGTCGTCCATTGGAGGAGTTGACGCCAAAGGCAAAAGTTGCTGAAGAAAAAAGAAAACATACAGATAAAGCAGAACCAAGTGAACAAAGGGTATATGAGGAACCAAAAGAAAAACCACCTCCCCCATTCCCACAGAAATTCAAAAAACAAAAGGAGGAGGAATTTTTTGGTAAGTTTATTGAATTACTCAAATAGGTACATGTTAACTTTCCTTTGATTGACGTGTTGCAGGGCATTCCTAAGTATGCCAAATATGTGAAAGATGTGGTAGCCAACAAGAGTAGATTGGCTGAGTATGCAACAGTAGCACTCACGGAAGAGTGCAGTTCTAGGATCCAGAATAGGCTCCCAACTAAGTTGAAAGATCCAAGGAGTTTCACTATTCAGATCAAAATTGGCAAATGTATTGAGGCAAGAGGTTTGTGCGAGTTGGGCGCAAGTATCAATTTGATGCCTACTTCCATGTTTGTCAAATTGGGACTAGGAATACCCAAGTCCACAACAATTATGTTACAGTTAGCGGACCGTTCGGTGTCAAGGCCATATGGCATTATTGCAGATGTCTTGGTTCAAGTGGGAACTCTGATTTTCCCCGTGGACTTTGTCATTTTGGATTTTGAACCTGACCTAGAGGCCCCATTTATTTTGGGACGCCCATTTCTAGCAACCAGAGGTGCATTAATTGATGTGGCGGCCGGTAGACTAACAATGAGGGCTCATGACAAGGTCGAGGTATTTGATGTTTACAAGGCAATGAAGTTGCCTGCAATATATGAGGAGCTGTCTGCAATTGCAGTCATTGATGAGGCAATGACATCTAAATATGTTGAAGCCCAAGACCCTTTAGAGAAAGTGTTAATTGGGCAAGACATTGAGGGAGATGTTGAAGCCCAGGAGTTGGCTAACGTCCTAAATTTCTCGAATATGAGTATGTTTTGCAAGTTTGTGGAGCCAATAAACAGAGTCATGGGACCACCTCCCAAGCCGTCGATTGAAGAAGAACCAAAGTTAGAGTTAAAGGCTCTCCCTTCTCATCTCAGGTATGCATTCTTAGGTGCCAATAAATCTTTACCTGTAATCCTTTCTTCTGCTTTGTCCGAATTGCAGGTTGAGGCATCTCTGAAATATTGAGGAAGGAAAAAAGGGAGATAGGCTGGCAGATGGCGGACATACATGGCATCAGCCCAACTTTATGCATGCACAGGATATTCATGGAGGAAGGGCACAAGTCAATTGTGCAACCGCAGCGCAGGCTAAACCCAATGATGAAAGATGTGGTGCGCAAGGAGGTGATCAAATGGCTAGATGTGAGTATTGTCTATCCAATTTCGAACAACAAGTGGGTCAGCCCAGTTCAGTGTGTGCCTAAAAAGGGAGGCATGACGGTGATCACCAATGAAAAAAATGAGTTGATTCCAACTAGGACGGTGACAGGAAGGCGAATATGCATGGATTACAAAAAATTGAATGAAGCCATCAGAAAGGATCACTACCCGGTTCCTTTTATTGATCAGATGCTGGACAGGTTGGCTGGACAAGAATATTATTGTTTCCTCGATGGCTATTCAAGATACAACCAAATTGTGATTGCACTAGAGGACCAGGAGAAAACTACACTCACTTGCCCGTATGGGACATATGCTTTCAAAAGAATGTTGTTTGGGCTATGCAATGCTCTAGCCACCTTCCAAAGATGCATGATGTCTATCTTTCATGATATGGTTGAAGATTTTGTGGAAATATTCATGGATGACTTCTCAGTATTTGGGGAGTCTTTTGACAGGTGCTTGGAGAATTTAGACTGGGTGTTGGCTAGATGCGAGGAAACTAATCTCGTCCTAAACTGGGAAAAATGTCATTTCCTAGTGAAGGAAAGGGTTGTGTTAGGCCATAAGGTGTCAAAGAGAGGGCTGGAAGTTGATTGTGCCAAAGTTGAAGTAATTGAAAAGCTACCTCCCCCAAGTTATGTTAAAGGGGTGCGAAGTTTTTTGGGTCATGCTGGTTTCTACAGGAGATTCATCAAGCACTTCTCTAAGATTGCAAGACCCATGTGTAGTCTCCCAGAGAAGGAGATGAAATTTGTATTTGATGAGCAATGCATGCAAGCTTTTGAAGTTTTGAAGAAGAAGTTGATAGAAGCTCCAATCCTAACTTCCCCAAATTGGGTGCTTCTTTTTTAGCTGATATGTGATGCAAGTGATATGGTTGTGGGAGCAGTGTTGGGGAAAGGAAAGAGAAGGTTTTTCACTCAATATATTATGCAACCAAAACACTGGATGCGGCCCAAACCAACTACACAATGACTGAAAAAGAAATGATAGCCTTGGTCTTTGCTTTTGACAAGTTTAGATCTTACCTCGTACGTATTAAAGTTGTTTTTTATACTGACCATGCAACTATCAGGTACTTGTTCAACAAGAAGGATGCAAAGCCGCGGTTAATCAGGTAGGTTCTATTGCTGCAAGAGTTTGACATCGAGATCAAGGACCGAAGAGGTTCTGAAAACTAGATTGCAGACCACCTGTCAAGATTGGAGAGTTCGTCACATGTGGGAGAGCAAGATCATATTAGGGAGGAATTCCCTGATGAAAAACTATTGGCGCTAGAGGTGACCGAACTACCATGGTATGCATACATTGTTAATTATTTGGTTAGCGGATTGTTTCCACCGGGTGTAACCACACACCAAAAGAAGAGGCTTATTTATGATTCTCGGTTCTACATATAGGATGAGCTTTATCTCTTCAAGCAAGGGCCGGACAAAATTATGAAGAGGTGTGTGCATGAGTCTGAGATGAGACAAGTGATGGATAGTTGCCACTCGTCTGCATATGGGGGTCATCATGGAGGTGAGCGCACTGTGCATAAGGTGCTCCAATTAGGTTTTTTCTGGCCTACTTTATTTAGAGATGTTGTCGGTTATGTGAAAAGTTGTGATCAATGTCAGAGGATGTGGTCTATTTCTAGATGACATGAGATGCCCTTGCATAACATCTTGGAGGTTGAAATATTTGATGTCTGGGGGATCGACTTCATGGGGCCATTCCCTCCATCGAATGGAAATCAGTACATACTTGTGGCTGTGGACTATGTGTCAAAATGGGTTGAGGCAGTGGCGTTGCCGACCAATGATGCTAAAGTGGTGTCGAAGTTTCTAAAGAAGCACATTTTCACTCGGTTTGGAACTCCTAGAGCAATAATCAGTGATGGAGGGATGCACTTCATAAATCAAGTGGTGAAGAATATCTTAGCTAAATATGGAGTCAGACACAAGGTAGCTACAACATACCACCCTCAAACTAGTGGCTAGGTAGAAGTGTCAAAGAGGGAGGTGAAGCAGATTCTACAGAAAATAATGAATGCCCAAAGGAAAGATTGGGCAATGAAGCTTGATAATGCATTATGGTCATACATGACCGCTTATAAGACACCAATAGGGACTTCTCCATATCACTTGGTGTTTGGTAAAGCGTGTCACCTTCTAGTTGAATTAGAACATCAGGCGTACTGGACAATGAAGAAGTTGAACCTGGACCTAGAACTAGCAGGGAGAAAGAGGATGGGCCAGCTACATAAATTGGAGGAATTCAGACTCCATGCTTATGAAAATGCTAAGCTCTATAAGGAGAAGACTAAACGATGGCATGATAAGCATATTGTGCCTCGATTTTTGAGCCTGGGCAAAAGGTATTATTATTTAACTATAGATTGAGGTTGTTTCTAGGTAAGTTGAAGTCAAAATGGTGCGGACCATTTGAGGTGGTGCGCATGACCGACCACGGCATTGTAGAGTTATGGAATGAACAAAAGCAATCCACGTTCATTGTGAATGGATAGAGGGTGAAGCATTACTTCGAACAAGAAGTGGATCGAGAAGAAGAAAGTATGTAATTGAGCAATGAATAAGAGGGAGTTGATTCATGCCGCGACGTTAAATCAGGCGCTACCCGAGAGGCAACTCGATACTTTGTGATTTTGAAAATATTTGCATTGTAGTTTGTTTTAATAGGTTAGTTTAGTGTAATTTTAGTTCTAGGTTATTTCATTTATCGTAAAATTTGTAATTTTAAAAAAAATTAAAAAAATTGGGCAATTAAACCAGTGGAGTCCGTGACAAGAGCGCGTCGCAGACTTGTTTCTTCTAGGTGATGGATGCCCCAGGCAAAGTTGCGAAAACATCAAGGCGAGACCGCGACAGGTCCGCGTCGTAGACACAGTTTATAGAATTAAATTAGTGGGGGTGGATTTCCAGTGGAGTCCGCGACCTCACCGCGTCGCGGACTTGTTCCCACTCTTCATTAATTCTCCCATGTTCCAAAAAAAATCGCAAGGCGTGACCGCGACAGCTCCGCGTCGCGGACCTGGTGAGTTCTTATGGTATTTTCAATTAAAAAGTTGGGTTTGACTCGACTAAATGGGTAAAAACCCGACCCCCATTCCCTTCTATTCCCCAAATCCATCCCTTTAACCCCATTTTCTATTTTAAATTGCTTTCTTCTCCTTTCCCCTTCAACCCTAACTCCTTCCAAGAACAAATCCATGTCGCGAAGTGGAAATTTCTCCCCAAGTTCATCACTTTTTGTGGGTCTAAGCATGCAAGGAATGTGTCCTACTCTTTTATTTCTTTCTTTGGGATAATTCACGACAGTTAGGGCTAGTATTTATGCGCGTGATGGATGAGTTGTTGTGATATGTTTAAATTGTTGCCTATTTGTGGTTTTCTGCTTCTTTATTGCTATGGTTGACGGAAAAATCTGTTGGAGTTCGATGGGATGATTATAATGAGGAAAATTTTGTATGGGGAAATTAATAATTAGGGGGTTGTTAATTCTTGAGTAGCAACTTGGTGATGAGGGAAGTGATTGAAATAGAAGAATGTGTGTTGGTTCGAATTCTTGAGTAGAATCTGAGATGTTTGGGTTTGTATGTTTAGGCTAGGGTGAATTGTGTGAATCATATGCTAAAAATTATATTGGGAAGTTTGAGTACCGTGTTGTTTGTGAAGTTGTGCTCGAGAGTAGGTGTGGGGTGGCTCTCCATTATTGAGTCTCACTAATTGAGATGAGTTTTGTCTGATTGCAGGTTACCATGTCTAGCACAGAAAGGTCGGGAAAAGCGGTGGCGTCTAGCAGCCGTGAAAGAGTAAGAACGGGCACCACCATTCCCCCGGCACCCACAGTCCCAAGAGGATAAACTCAGTGCTATGGGGCCAAGGCTATCACATCGGAGGGCAAGAAGTGGTACAAATCACACACAGAAGCCAAGTACTTCTCGGATGTGATACTTGATGATGTCAACTTAGAGAGGTAGTTCCCACACATTATGCGTCGCCTGCAAGAGCTGCACATGGGTTTCATCTTTCAAGATCCATTAGAATGCAATGTTAATGTGGTGCGGGAATTCTATGCAAATTGGAAGCCCGATGCCCGTTCTCACTTTGTGACAGTGCGGGGAGTGGAGGTCCCTCTGACACCTGCATCACTAAATCAAATCTTAGGGACTACAGATGCTCTTTCTGATATGCTCACGGGGATCAATATCAGTCCTCCATATCAACAGATTCGACATGTTTTGTGTGGGGCGCTGTCCATTGCGAAATGGATTTGGCATGGGCACCGTGGCTATCACCCGTCATATCCTTATGCTCACATGAATCGGGAAGCTCGGGTGTGGCTAAAAATTGTCATGAATTGTTTGATACCAAGGCTGCATTTTACCGAGGTGACGAGAGATCGAATATGCTTGGTCTATGCTCTAATGAAGGACCTACCCATTAATGTAGGAGCAGTGCTAAAATCAGCCATGCGCAAGGCTAGATTACATCGAGGTCGAAGATATGATTTTGGGGGATTAATCACTAATTTGTGCAGGCGAGCAGAAGTTCTAGAGGAGAGTGTGGACTACATGGCACCTTTGTTCACCACGCCCCTAGATGTCACAAAGACAAAGGGGCCAGAGAACATGCATGGACCCATCCTCACTACCGCTGAGCGAAATATGAGGGATGATATGATCACGACTTGCATGTTTGGATTGGAAATGTTGCGTCATAGAAATGTATGCCGAGCTTCGAGTCAGGAGCAGCTGGACGAAATTGCAACGAAGTACCTACTAAATGAACATGATGAGGCATTGCTGGGACTCGGACCTGCATTTCTGGAGCCCGTATGGGATGATGTTCCAGCTGATGAGGACAAGAGGTGAACCATGTCGGATAGTGAATCCAATTTTGATGCAGAAGAGGGTGACCTTTTGGCTCTTGAGGGCACCGACGGTGATGCCGACATGGATGAATGATCCGGGAAGTCCACCCGCCTTACCTTGCTTTCTTTCTGAATTATGTCACACTGTGGACAGTGTTGAGTTTTAAATGTGGGGTGGCGACTATATCTGTGTAAATAGTTTTTGTTTGCATTTGCTATTTTGTTTTGGGTTCCTTGGTAGTTGTTTTCAATTATTTTGTTTTGGGTTCCTTCGTAGTTGTTTGCGGTTCTTTAGCCAAGGACAGTTCCATTGAACCGTAGAAAATTTTTTTGTTTCTTAGGATTCAGTCAGTGTCATAGTTGAGTCAAGCCGCCCTATGATAGATGGATGACGACCGTCTTAAGGGCAGTTTTTGGTAGGGTTGGCTTTTGGCTAAGGCTGCACAACTGCTTTGAATTATATTGAAAGTTGAAAATATTGGATGACTTTGTGTTGAGACATCTAGGCTCTTTTATGTGACTCTAATTGGCGTATGATTTGTGTCACTCACTGGGAAGTAGTATATAGTGACCAGTTTTGAGTTGAATGTGTGCCAAGTGTGTAGGGTTTGTGCATTCCTTGCTATTGATTGAGGCCCAGAACTTGCCCCGTGTGTCTGCATAGCGAAAAAAGAGGATAAGGAATTTGGGAAGTGATATAGGCAATTTTTTGATAGCCATGATTGTGCCTTCCTGTACCCACCTTGATGTATATCCCTAGTTAACCCTTTCGAGCCTTGAACTTATTCTTTGGTAGCCTATTTTGAATCTAATACCCATTCCTTCTCTGGCCTATAAATTTGATCCAAAAGATCCTAAGCGCTTTGTGTAAATGTAAATGAAGGAAGCGGAAGTTCAATGGCAAGCCCCGGCATAAGTTTAGCTCGTAAAAAAATAAAAATAAAAAAATAAAATTAATAAATAAATAAACTTTGATGAATGAAGTTGGAATGAAAATGGTGGGAAGAGGTGAATGTAAATGCTTTGCAACAAGGGACCAATGGTTCCAAGAAAAGGAGCTTAAGGAGGAGGTTATTGAAAGAAGGTCCAAAAATGAAGTTTGTTTTGCATTAAATCGCTTGGGAATGCAGTCACTATTTATATCTGAAAAATAGTTCCTACCGGCCCCCTAACCTGCATTACAACCCTTAAAAGACCTAATTGATCTTGAACTTTCGTATTCTCAAAAGTAGTGAGGCAGTACACTAAGGGTAAACATATGGTTCGTTGGTTGTGGCATGTGAATTCTTTCGAGAGTGTGAGCGAAATTGCTTCCCGCACCCATTTTGTATGAAAATGTTATGTGTAAGTAAATCAGGGTGTGCATTTGTGGTGAGGGTACATGTTTAATGAGGTCTGACAACTGATATATCTGCGGATCCAAAAGTTGTGCATGAGTTTGTTGCGTTATAAGAGTCTATTCTTGAGGCTAGATGGTCTTGCTCGAGTCGTCCTAATGAATGCATAATATTTAACATGTTGTGTGAAGCTATGATAGTTGTTGTGGCCAAAGCTGAAATGCCATTAGGGGAAGTGTAGTAGAGTCGTCGTATGTTTGAAAGTGTGGAAGTGTTCGAGGACGAACAAAGCTGTAAGTGTGGGGTGGTGATCTTGGGAGTATTTATGTGCCTAATAGCCAATTTATCCCATATATATAGCTAAGTTGAGAGCATTTTTCGTTGTCGGAATTAAGTTTTGAGAGTCTTTTGATGTCGCTTCTTCTAACCAATATGAGTAGATGTTTCAGGGTGAAAAGCAAAGAAGAACGAGCCAAAATAGGGAACCTAGTCAGAGGTCGGAAAATAGAAGCCGCAGCTACGGAGAAAAAGGGCCAAGAAGCTGGAATATAAACTATGAGGGAGTATCTCCGCTTCGCGGAGCTAATACGTGTGCGCAAAAAAGAAATTCCACTTAACAGTGGAGTGCGTGATGGCAGCGCGTCACGGAGAGGTTTCATCTGTGTGCAACTATAGGGGAGGGTTAAATAGTTTAAGTGTGTTATTTTTATCATTATCAATTTTAAAAGAGACGGGAGCACAATATTTTGGGCGATTTGGCTAACACCTTCTAGGGTTCTTCTTCTACTCTTTCATTTTGGTAAACCCTTGTATGATCCTCAAACATTATTTGAGAATATTTTGTGTTATGAGTAGCTAAAGTCCCTTATTCTAGGGTTGTAGCTACGGTTAATGGTTTAATACAATTTGTTTCTAGTATGAGTAGGGTTATCTTATGATTTGTGCTTGCATTCTTGTTTAACTATTTTAATGCATGATCAACATTAAAATAAACTCATTGTCTGCTCTTGAACTCGGAAGATGAATAGAGGGATAGACCAAAGAATGTGGGAAGTGTGTTCATTCTAGGATAAAGTCTAGAATGTTTTGTATATAGGATAGTCTTATACTTATATACCACGCTTGGTTAATATGCAAGATGAATGCTTAATGCTCCGTCATTGGATCATGCCTAACCCCGCTCAACGATGTAGTTAGGCTATCAATGGGGGTAGGCGATTAGAGGTCGGGAGATCATGATCGTAAAATGAACCTTGCAAATCCATAATGAGGTTAACCCGTCGAATACTAGTATAAATCAATATTATATCAGAGATCGATCTATGCTACAACCCTGGAGCACCTTTTCGAATTGTGAAATTTTCTTGTTTGAAACCTTTTAATTAAAGTAATTAATATTTGATAGTGTCTAATTAGTAGTTATAAACAAATTTCTAAAATTATTTGTCACCCGAGTAAATTTAGTTTAGACATAAGAGAATTGTTATTTGTTGATTTGTAGTCCTTTGGGTTCGATAATTCAGCTCGAAAGAGTCGTTGTACTACTTGAGTGACCACGTGCACTTGCGTGTGCTTTTGGGCGCAACAATGATTATATTGCAAATTGTTGTGGGGCAAACCCGGATGCTGTAAACTTTGTAGGTAATGCACAATGAAAGGATTGGGCTGGAAAGTTAGATGATGCATTGTGGGAATCCAGAACTATGTATAAGACACTAATAGGGACTTCTCCATGTTGTATGGTATTCTGAAAAACATGCCATCTTCTGACGGAATTGGAGCACCAAGCATATTGGTCCATAAAAAAGTTGAATCTTGATCCTGAATCGGCTAGCAAGAAGAGAATAAGTTAGTTGCATGTTCTTGGGGAATTCAGACTCCACGCCTATGAAAATGCCAAGTTATATAAAGAGAAGACGAAGAAGTGGCATGGCAAGCATATCATCCCACACACCTTTGAGCCAGGCCAGCTGGTGTTGCTGTTTAGTTCAAGGTTGAAGTTATTCCCTGAAAACTTAAGTCAAAGTGGAGTGGGCCATTCGAGGCGGTGTGAATGACTCAACATCGGGCTATGAAGCTATAAGGACAAGAGCTCCACTTTTCTAGTGAATGGACAATGAGTAAAATACTACTTCAAAAATAATGTAGATCGTGAGAAATAAACACTTGAGTTGAATGATGAGTGTGTCATGAGTTGGGTCGAGCCGCGATGTTTGATTTTAACCTTTCAAGGACACTTCATCCAATTCTAAGTGTCAAAGATCGCTAGTCAGTATATAACCCAACTAAATAAGTTGGGGTCGAATCCCACAGGGAGTGGTACGTGTTTAAGATTCAATAGGAAGTACGAATATGATCAAGTCAGTCACAGGAATAGACATTTACGAATAAAAATATAATTCAAATCAGGAGGTGACACGAATGTCAAATAAGGGGGTTTTGGTTTCAATTATCAACTACCACATCAACAAATAAAACAGAATAACAATAATGATACGGGTTCTTGGGATGCGATTCAATTATAGGCTAATATAGACAAATGGGTAATTGAACTTGTTAGGAAATAGCTGAATATTAGTGAATAAGCTAGACTATAGAGGAGATAA